ACAGAGCTTCAACTGTACTCTGAAGTTTGTTTGATCCATATTTGAAAGGATTTATAGGACATCTGCAGTTGCAGATTAATTAACTTTACAAGCAACAAGATCCTTTCAGGTATGCCGTCCTGCCCCTTCCCCCCTCAAATGCTTCTGCACAGTGGGTAGTGGGGTCTGAACATCTCTTTATATGGGGTAGAGAATTTTTACTTTCATACCTACTTTTCAGGCTGGAAGATACCAGAATTGTTGAGGATTTTTTGTTTGCTGTTTTTTTTTCCCCCCTCACTCTCTTTAAAACTTCTGACTTTATCTCCCCTATACCCCCTTACCTCTGTATTTGTTATGAGATGACCAAGACTCTCTTTTCTTCCAAAAGATCAAGTGAGGGGGAAAAAAAGTCTTAGACATACTACTTGTACCTGGGAATAGTGAGAATGCAAGAACGAAACAGATAGTCTAATGCTCTTGAGCATTCAGTTGAGCCAGTATGCTATGAAAGAGTTAAATCACTGGTTTTCTTAACTTGCAAATACAAGAATTTGGCCTCAGGGAATTAGTTGCTGTTTGAGAATGGTTTTGTTGATATGCTGCCATCCTCTCTAGTATTTAAAAAGATTTTTGCATTAATATTATATCTGCCCTACAGGTTATTCTGACGAAAGGAAATTTACAGTCTTAGGCAAAAATCTTTCAGTGGGTTGTCTCTTTTTTTTTTTTAATCCTTCCTCTTCTGTAGGGCGAGGCTTAATCAAGTTATACCTAGCCTATGTCTCTCTAACAAGTGTGTTAAATATGTATTTTCAACAGTAATCTTGAATAACATGCAGCTAGCTAATAAAAGCAAAAAATGTTCGTTCTTTAATGGGAAGGTTCAGAGCGCTAATTTGTATCTGAATGCCCTGCAGACAGTGTTTTCCCTGAGCTCCAGGAGAGCCTCTTCTCTTCTGGCCAAAGACCTGACTGAATTCCTCTTGGACTCTTCATCTCTCTCATCTGCAGAGTCCGACAGGTGCAACTGGCTCCATCCATATGAATTTCAGTTGCAGCTTGTCTCCGCTGTTCTAAGAAGCAATGAGAAATTTGATGCTAAATTTGTGGTGTCATTTTGCACTGATCTTTTGGAACCAGAAGTGCCAAGCACAATGTTAAATCAAGAATTTGACTTGCACAAACGAATGGTCTTTTCTAAATACACTCAGGTTACGCTGTGCTTTAATTTATAGGAGTGTGAGCGCCAGATTTTAATAAAAGGTCATTATTAATACGTTACTCTTGGTTTTGGCCAGTGTTATTTTACCTCTGTAAAATACATAGTAGAAAAAAATATTTTGGTGGAAAAATGAGACATGTTACTAGTTGGGAGTAATTATCTAAACATTTGTGTCAAACTAGTGACAACACTGATCTTTAGCTTTTCTCAGCAATGCAACTAAGCAATGCACATTTGGTAAAATAACTGTTGTTTCTAATTTAGCTACTGGGAAGTGATTTTCTTCTTTGATATTTGATCTGAGGCAAGTTTTCTGCTGTTGTCAGTGGATGGACTCACAGAGTTCTCGTTCAAAGGAGCTGTATTTGTTCTTAGAAAGAAGCGGGACAACTGTTTTTCATCTTCTCGCTATTTGTTCTTTTGATACTGGACTTAAATGGCTCAACTTTCATTGTATTAATGTTCTAAATAAGGAAAAGCCTTTATGCATGTGTTAGTTTTACATTGCTTAATTATTACAGTTTCTGTTCAGGAATTATTTTTTGAGCCTGTGTCTTTTTTTGCACTAGCTTTCAGTTATATTTGGACTGTTGTAGGAAAATTCCCTTCTCTTGCCTCCAGTGCAGAGTAAATGTACTATCAGGGTCAAAAGCCACACAAAATTCAAGTAAAATGAATTCTTGGTCTCAGAAGGTTGACTTGAGCACACTAGAAGTGGAAAAGGAGTCAGAGTGATTGTATCTTTTAAGTCTGGGAACTTGGTAAATTTGCTAAAGTGTGATCTGTTTCACCAAACAATTAAAAAAAAAAAAAGTTAAAACTATTAAGCATCAAGAAATCAAACTACAGCGTGTTAAGGGGAAAAAGAAGTTTTTGACAAATTAAGCCATATGTGGCGTGAAATCTTCAGAGTGAGTGTCACGCATGTAGTAGAATACTTTTAGCTAGCTTATGTTCGGGTACATGGATTCATCGACCTAGTTAAGTTTGAGCAATGCTGTGACAAGTGATGTTAAAACCATGCAAGCTCGTGGGTAGTTCTTTCTCTGGCTAGGAGTTACTGAACATATTATATGATTTGGTCACCGTAGATTTTTCCTGTATGTGTCAATGTTGTCCAAGTCATTGCTGTGTGCTAGGATCATCACTGCTGTATTCAAAGCTAGGGCTTTCCGATGTTTTCAGAGCTGGGGTGGTATTCCACAGAATTTCATACAACTCTGATAAAATTCTCTATGATCAAAAATACTTCTTTTAAATAACCTAGAATATTTACCATGTTTTTTTATTAGACTGATGATTGTCGGTCTTCTGTCTTGTCTAGCTGTGGAAGAAAGATCTTGAGTGTCAAGAATTCATTTCCAAACTTTGTGCAAGACTGCTTTATATCTTTGGTGGATGAACATAGTTGCAGGTTTTTCTTCTCTCATTCTCTTCTGACTGCAGTGAGACAGAATATGTTTCTGCAGTCTGTATAGTAGGGGTATTTCAAATTCAGGAAAACGTAGAGACCCTGGCTTGAGGTTGGTCTTGCTTACAACTTTGATTATTTCTCAATCTTTGCATCTTTTAAAATGTTTCTGTAAGGAAGAGACTATTTTGGAGTCTACATTGCTTCTGCTGTCACTGAAATTATCTGCTTTCTCTTGCGTTTTTGGATCTCCAACTTTCACTTGAGCTGTTAAGCTGTAATTCTGTGGGAATAAGTTTGAGTTTCTCATAATTTCAATTTTAGATGTTTTAGGGAATGCAAAACATAGATTGCACATTGATGCAGTCTGAGTAATAATCTTATGCTTAATTGGAGACATACTTACAAGCAATCCGTGGGCATTTGTGGGAAGTCTTGCCTCATGCTTATCTTTTGAAAGAAATACAAGTAATTGTTTAAAGATCTTAATTTTAGAGCTCAATATTGGTTGCATCAAATGTGACTAGAGACTTCTTAATACTGTATCGCTAATTCACAGCTATTCTTCTGCTCCAGTCCTCCTCAACTATTTAGATTTTGGTTTGAAACTCTGAGTTCCCTTTGTCTGCTGTGATTTTCAAATCCCTACTCATAAAAAATATCGGAGTTCCGGATTCACAGCAGAATACTATATTACTTTGGAATTATGATATTAGTTACATTAACAATGGATATTAATTGAAGAGTGATAGAAAGTTACCATTTCATTGATGCAAGAATCGGTGAAATACTTGAGTCTTTGTCATCAGTGCTTTACGAAATGAAACTCCTGTGTCAGCAGCGTTGGAGGCTGGCATTAATTCTTGTGGATTTGAGGCCTGATTTAATCATAGTTAAACAGCAGTACAGTGCTGGTCTTGCTGTGTGGGTAGGGTGTAAAGGCTTTTAAAAGTCTCCAAGGGCTTTTCTGATCGTCTGAAGTTCAAAAATGATTATTATCATACTGTGAAGGGAAGACTCCTGTAGGGCACCTAATATTCTAGTTGCAATTGTGTATTCCTTAAATCCAAATGACTTACCTTCCAACGCCTAGCTAATGTGTTTGACCAAGCCACTCAGCTACTCTGTAATTAGTTTTCTCTGGTGGAAAATAATCTCATGTTCCTTGAAAAGGAACTCCTAAAGGCTTGTGAAGTGCTCAGATGCCCCAACAGAGACACACATGTATTTTGTCACTACTATAGACAGTGTTACAGCTGGAGTCAGAAGCTGTTGCTTCTTTCCGTTCTTCAGGATATGATGCAATACGCAATAGCATGCAATTGGAATGATTTCAATAAATTAATAATTCAGGTTAGTGTATTAGTTTGTGATGATACATAATTTCAGATTATATTCCTCAGCAAAGCTTTTGACACTTTTTCCTGCAGTATCCTTGTGTCTTAGCTTGGCCGTTATGGTTTGGATAGGTGGGCAGTGAGGTGGGTAAAAGAACCAGTTGGATGGTTGGCCTCAGAGGATTGTGGTTAATGGGTCATACTCTACCTGGTGGCCAGTAAGTGGAGTCTGCAGGGGTCTGTCCCGGACCTGTCCTGTTAAACATCTTTAGCAATGACCTGGAGCAGGCAACACAGTACACTGTCAAGTTTGCAGATGACAGCAGACCAGGGGGCCCAGCTGATATGCTGGCGGGTAGAGCTGCCAACCAGGGGTACCTGGGCAGGCTGGCGGGATGGGCCTGCAGGAACCTCACAAAACTAAGCAAGGACAAATGCCTGTCCTGCACCTGGGGGAAGGAAGAGCCCCTGGCAGGGATACAGGCTGGGGACAGAGGGGCTGCAGGGAGCAGCTCTGTGGGAAAGGCCCTAGGGGTGCTGGCAGACAGCCAGGTGCCAAGCGAGGTTGTGCCATCTCCATCCTTGGAGGTTTTCAAGACCGGAATAGGCAAAACCCTGAGCAACCTAGTCTGACCTCATTGCTGAGCCTGCTTTGAGCCAGAGGTTGGACTTAAAGACTTCCCGAGGTCCCCTTCAACCTGAAATACCTTATCCTGTGATTCTATGACTACTTATTTATTCAATTTCAGATTTTAATTTGAATTTAAAATGTGCCTTTGTAATTTAATTTGCATGTGTAAAACGTTACATGCTCAGTCTGTTCTATCACAAATTCAACTAACGCTTACTATGTGCGTGCGCACGCGTGTGTGTTTTAGTGTTCCATTTTAAAAAAAAAAAATCTGGGCTTTTACCAAGCTCTCATTTCAAAAGTAATTGTTATATCACAAGTGTTATTTGCATCTCTGTGCTTATTACTGGTTTCTTTTGTGCTTGTTTCTTGTGTAAACTTGCCACATGATTAATATGCTTTTTTTTGTTTCAACAGAGGGAGAATATATCAAGATGTTCATGCGAGGTCGACCAATCACAATGTTCATTCCTTCTGATGTAGAAAACTATGATGATATTAGGACAGAGCTGCCTCCTGAAAAGTTAAAACTGGAGTGGGTGTATCCTTGATATCAGTAACTACTTGCTGTTCCCTTTTTGTCTTGTCTTGCCTTTTTTTTTTCCTTTAGAATCTGGTCTTGTGTATTCTCTGTTCAGAGGTAAAAATTACTTAAAAGTGGGGAAAAAAATTCGATTTAATATAACAATTGAAATGGTTTGTAGCTACTGTATAGTATGACTTTAAGCTGCAAAACATGCAGGCACAGAAAAGTGGTACTTTTTGTTTGTTTGTTTTTCAGTTGAAACTAATTGCGATTTATTTTTAGTGTGAAAGAAAGTGTCTTTGGAGAGTTAGTTTCAGAAATGTCCCCCTCTGCCTCCCACTATATTTATGTAGGCTTTGCGTTCAGAAACATTGTTAGTTTTCAATCTCTGTTCACCTTTAGGAGGTTTTAGAGCTATGAGAGATCTTGAATTTCTTGTTGTCCTTATCTATGGAACGAGGGTTGCAGAAGCAGATGTCATTTGCACTGCTTCTGTGTTTCAGCTCCAAAGTGAAGGGGTTAATTTCTTGGAGACTAGTTTGCATGAAATGCACTAAATAAATTTATCATTTGAAGAATGGAGATGGTCTGTGGCTGACAACAATTCTTCAGGCTTAGTAGATGAGACATTAAGTTCATTATAAGAGATGTGCTTTTGCACACGTTTGGGTCTTGCTGTCACCCCCCCCATCTCTGCAGATTCTTCCAGTATGCTGTGATTGTATAAGTAAGTTTCTTAGTACTTCAGTAAAATAACGTGTCTAGGCAGCACTTGAGTTGGTGTAATAATCTCAAGTTTGATCCTTCTGATGTTGCTGAAAGCAGGAGGATTTTTAGGAATGTTGATGATACACTGTCATATGTCAGGATATGTACAGACAGAGGTTGCCCTTACCTCTCTCAGCATATCTGTTAGTGACTAAGACATACACATATTTTAAGCCATCCCTTGTTACTCACTTTAGGAAAGAAGGTTCTGTATTATTTTTCTTGCCTTTATTAACTAGTAGATGTTTGAAACAGATAATGCTGGGTACTTGGTTATGAAGAGCAGCTGTGGAGCTCATGTCCTCTGAACTATTCAGTGAGACTGTGGAAGCTTAGACCATAAAGGAGGAAAGTTTTGGATTAAAAGTCTGACTGAAAGGAAAATGGAGCTCTTATTTGTGCTTTGCAAAGCTGTGGTGCCCAGCTTTCCCACTGTCACAGCTCTTGGGTGCTGATGCTGGCACTCATATGACTGTGGAGTGAGTTGGGTCAGTCACTGATCTGGCTGAATTTTTTTTTTTTTTTTTTTTTTTTTTGGGGGTTAAATTTTCAGCGGGTTAAAGGATCAACTCATTAATTTGATTTGCCCCACAAACATGCAAGGTGTAGAACTGGCATACTGGAGGAAGATCAGATCTGCCTTTTCAGCAGCAGTGAGCAGTTTGGACTGATGAAAACTGATCATGAAATCACACCCTTAGTTAAGTAGGTGCAAATCCCAGTGTGGACACACTTATTTAATGTCCAAGAACCTTAAGTTCAGGTTAAACCAGTTTCCTG